ACCAGAGGAGTTCCGAGACTAATGTACAGGATGAGTCGCTAAATACTAGCTGTGTACCTAAATGCCTGAATGTATTTGGTTGGTGCTTTGAATTTAATATGATACCTGTCGTTAAGATATGCTGTATAATATGTGTATTAATATTGGTATTAAATTCAGTTTTACTTGCATTGCTGAGGACAGCAATGATTTAAGATGGGGCGAGTGTGGCAGAGCCAGAAATGTTTATGTTATAAAGTACACGTTTTTACATAGAAGTACTTCCCCTTTAAAAATGTTTAACTTTAGTTTAGAGTTCTTGATTTTTTTTTTCTAGTAGTGTGCCATTTTTCCCTGTTAAACTTGAAATAAGCGGTTGTTTGTTCCCGGCGTTCGAGCGGCCGACCGACGAACAACCGAGCTGTTCGTGAATATACGGGAACAAGCCTCCCGAACTCAGCCATTCTAGTTCTGTACAAATCAAAGATCGTGTGGCGCCGCCAAGCGGCGTTATACGATCTTTGGTACGGTACAATTGTACAGACACGATACGATCATATCATATCTGGGCCTCGGCTGTGTGTAAGGTATCCCGTACATATACAGTGTACGTCACTACATAAGTCATTGACTGTTTCTTTGAATTGACCGTGTGTCTGGCGGGTCCTCACTCAGCTTCAAGTCGATGTACGTCAGTATACCAACACAGACTTAAGTAAGAATGAAATTGAAGCAGACATTATTCGAGATTTTTTTTACCTTTCGTAAGGGGATGTCGGACAACTCGACCTTTTGCCAACTCGACGTTGGACAATTCTACCGTTGAGACAACTCGACCAGTGAGATCTCTACACATGTATACATGTACATGTAATAGGCCTAAGCGTAGTGAGAGTCGTTTTCCCAGTTCCAGATCGCGAAAACTATTCAGTCAGATTGCAGCTACAACAAAACCTCAAATTCCAGTGAAATGTTGTCACAATCCACCTTTTGTGCTATAGATGCTAGGCCTACCAGTTTTTGTTTCAAACTTTATTTGGACGTAGGCTACAGGATCGACGAAAGTGGGGACACTTTTCCTCGTTCTGTATTGCCGGTTTCCGGAAAGTAACCACGCGAGCGAATCATCGTAAAACCATTGAAAAATTTCTTAATTTAAAGAAAATTGGTTCATAAATATAGGCCTAAATAAGAATTCCAATGAATTTAAAAAGTAAATCTTGCGTAAACTTTGACTCAACATTTTCAGCTGCGCAGTGCGAGCCATCAGTGCACAGTTGACGAACCCATTACATCACACACATTTCTGCAACAGTATAGTCATGATAGTAAAAATGAGTTCGTAACGTATATTCAGATATTTCGTACATGCACTTAAATGCGTGATCCCAAACTAGGAAACAATATGCGTTCAGTTTTCGGCCAGTTTTGATAAACGTGATCAAAGGCAACTTCGAAAGTCATTTTGATTAAACAGACATCAAGTTTATGAGTGTTGATTTTGAAAAAAAGTATTTGAGATCACTCGAAGTGACTACCCCCAGAACTGTGGGGTCTGACGTCTGCTGCGCTCTCACATTGGAGCGGAGGGGACGTCGGACCCCACAGTTCTGGGGGTAGTAAGCGACATATCGCACTGTAACTATTCGTAATTTTTTTTTCCTGCTACCATAATTTTTGACAAACCGTTCAAAACTGTCAAAGTGTGAATCAGAAATCTGGCTAAGATTTCTTTTCTAGAACTTTTCCGAAAACATTTCACCTTTTAACCGGAACCTGTCTGAGAATGTAGAACTGAAGGACAACACACACACAACAAAGGAGGTAGGCCTAGGTTTTTATTTCAAGTGGTCTAGAACTACCAGTAGGTACATGTACGTGGCTGGGTCAGCGTGGGTGCAAGATTGACTGATGGCGCAAAGATTGACTTACATGTACTACAGCAACCACTTTTATAATACCTCAGAGATTAGGCTTGTCCATCTACTATGTGAAATTCAATCCCATTATTATTAAAATTAAGGCATAGTATTTCACACCGTGGCCTTAGCAGCGCAGACATCTGGGCTGAGTGGACAGTGTCCCAAGAGAAGATTTGTCTCAACAGACGACTTGTCTCAATGGTCTTTTTGTCTCTCCCTTTTACACATAGACGGTTGAGTTGCCCGAAGTCGTGTTGGCAAATGGTCGAGTTGCCCGGACCCCTCGTAGGGTAACTTTAGGCCTAAAGTATCATGGGAGGTCTTGATTTTGAGGGGCCCTGTTTTTGCGTCCTCACCTTCTGCGTCACGCCGCGTATGTAAACAACTTCGAGTGACGTAAAATACCTTCAAATTTGCTGAAGATGTTTTCTTCTCTCCGCTGACCAAAATATGTGGAAAGTTTGGGCTTCAGCGGTAAGTTACACTTGTAAATATCAAAAGTTTATGCATTTAGGCCAAGTTTACAAGATAGGAAAACATTCTACTTTGCGGGGGCAATTAATAGTCATTACAGTGTCTTGTAAAGTTTCAGATTACAATGTTTCAAAGTCACTGTTCTTGTATGATTGAAGTCACATTACTCCACTGACAACTGAGCATGTTGGGAAGTACGCACATTTTCCCACTGTTTTACCGTCACATTTGGCATGTTTGGATGGATGAGTTGTCATGTTGCAAAAGCTTACTTTTTCATGAAAATTATGAATTCCTGCATGCATATTAAACAGCTAAATTATTACTTACGTTTCTAAGAAAGGTAATTCAATGTAGGGTTTTTCTTTTATTTCATTCTTTCAGCAAATATTAAAGTAAAAGTGACTGACTGTGTAGATTTTTTACAATTAAGGCCTACACAATAAAAAAATACACTAATATTATGGAATAATATTTTGAGTAAAATAGATTTCATTAGATATTACAAGGAAAGTGACATCCAATAGCGAAATACACATTACTGTTTCATTTGGCAGAACATGTGCACAAGTCCAGTGCTGCGGTCTAGGGCAAGTGCCTACCGGAAGTATTCACCATCAATGCAAAGAAGCCTTGTGTGATTTCTCCACCTCAACCTGATCCAAGTCATGCTCCTGCACCAGAACACAACATCGCTTCAGAGCACCAATGTTGATGACAGCGACTCAGAGATTGATGACATTTACAAGTGCTGTGTTTTCCACTGATTTCTACCCATTGAACTTGCAAACTCCATCAATTTAACATCATGGGGCCAGTGTATGTTCAAAAACTGCTTGCACTTGACACACATCAAGTACTATTGCAGTGTCCCCCTCTCCTAGCATGGGATACGCTTTATTGTCACACCTTGTCACAGTCTCCCATGCTTCCAACCCACAGAGAAGTAAATTTTATCAATTGATGCAGTTTCCGTCTTTGGTCAGGGTTTTTTAAGCCACTTTTTTCAGTTTGCCAAATGCAAAGTTCAAGCATGTTTATTAGTTCGCCAAGTAGATAATTGTTAATGAAATAATCTCCATAGTAAGCACTAGAACATGTTTGTTTCAGTTTTAGAAATAAATGAAAGTGTGTTCAATTTAAACATTTACCAATTTATTACTTTCATGTCTAATGACAAATAAACATAGGACATTAGAGTTGAAAACAATGAAACACCTGCAATAGTTTTATCTTCTATTTTTGATTTGAAATTTAAATCATTACAAGATTTTGTGAGGTAAAAAAAAGATGTTGGTTTTGGAAAAGTTGGTGATAAAGGATAAGATGAAGTCGCACAAGATGCACAGCAGGGCTTCAAACATTAATTTATTTCATGTACAGTGTATGCTTCACTTGGGCACTGTACCCCTAGCCCTGAACAACCCTTGAAAATAGGCCGCGGTCAGCAACGATTGATGTGCCATGTTTGTAAGAGCATTGAAGATCACTCCGTTGGGCTAAAGCTGTGAAGGTCACCAAGTTTTGCTCGTTGTTTCCAAATTGCCTGTGACTTACAGAAGGTGATTAGGACATTTTTAGTTGATATCTTGCATTTGTTTGTATTTTTCAAATTAAAGAAAAAGCCTTATTCCCTTGAAAACCGGTCTCTGGTGGAATACAAGTTACAACACGGAACATGGTTAATTTAAACAAGGCGACTTGATACAACACAATTTCATGCAGTTTCATGATCTGAACATGCTGACATGGCTGAAGACTAGACTTCCTGAACAGTAAGGCTAAGGGCATGTGCGTGATGGTATAGTCGCCAGGTCCCTTACATGCCTTATTTTGCCACTTACTTGTACTGTTACCAATCAGACTTACATTTAGGCCTAACAATAAGTGGCGAAATTCACCAAGAAGGCACGTGTGAAATTTGGTTGCATAAATAGCTGTGATGGAAGAGTACATGTACATGTAAGTTGGCACAATCAAAACAGCCCAAATGTGTTTATGGGAGTTGGTACATAGCTATCTGTGAGGTTTGTATGTAAACCTTACAGTTCTGAAAGTGCTGATTCCTGATGTTTGATGGTTCCATATGCAATGGTATTAATCATCAACGGCATCAGGAATCAGTAAGGCCTACGGATTAGTGCCATACTGCTCAGGAAGTACAGTACATGTAGCTGGAGACCTCAGGCTACCATATAAGTTGAATTTAACCAGACCTGCTTCATGTATTGTTGATGTACAGGTTACAGGTAGGCCTAGGCTAGCCCAGGTTGGACAGTGTCTTCTTTACATGTACATTACGACTAACACTCAGGATTTGAAGGAATCCTAAGATAGTCACAGATTTTACAACAATTTTTTTTTCCATTTTTACCTGACAGAGGTAGTTGAAATCTCGTTCACATGTTCCTCATATCCAGAATTATCCAATTGCGTAAATGTGTCCTTGGAAGACGTATTCGTAGAAATTAATTAAATTTAGACAAGTGAGGACCTGAAACCATGATTGTCATACTCCAGCCCACTGTATGTTCATGCAACCATGCGGTATGTGTGATGAGCATGTCGTGTACGTCCGCATGCCTACAGCCCTACCACGCATGCGTAGGAGAGTATCATGTCAGTTGCTACATGTACATGTATGCATTTCATGTGTGCGCGTGTTAAATCTTCACTTGTGCAGTTCGTGCAGGATGACTATGACAGAAGTGTGGAATGTTGATGTATTTTTCATCAGGTAATCTGAAGGCGGGTTTGGGTATTTTATTTCAATTTGAGAAAAGTTCGGTGTGATACATATACATGTATATTCACTTTCCTACTGAGTTTTGAGAGCGAAGAACTCCACCGACAATATTTGAAAACTGCGTTGCCCTGGTTTAAATGGAGGCAGTGGGATCATTATAAAGAGTACAGAAACACTTTGAAAGTACATGTAAGTTAAGCCTGGGGCAACTGACCAAAATAGTTTCGATGAAAACAGGTGTAACTGACAGATTTTCTCCAAATAATTATGTTGGTGGTGTAAAAAAGCGTCACCTACATTTCAAAGCTTGTTTGACCCTGAAAAACCCCATGCCTCTGGTTGCCTTTGTGAAGAGAGTTATGTGTGTATACATCTTGGGAAATGGCATACATGTACATGTGTACAATGTAAAGCTGTACATGTATGTAAATGGATGTACATGGTGGCGCAGCTTGTTTTTTTGTCCTTTTTGTAGTCCATACTTTCTAGGGATGTGCATCCTAATCGCTTTCTGAATGTCGAAGTGTTACTCATTCAACGTGGAATATCCAATGGTTTAATATTTCAACATTG